ATATATATATATATATATATATATATATATATCTTATTCAGTTAATCTATTGCATATCTACCCTGCCTTCTGCTTGACTTCAGACTATCATGGCTACCTACCTTTCTCTGATTGCTATTTACAATTTATATATGGTTCATAAACAGTTTTAATATATCCTTAAAAAATCATAAATAGTAAAGCAAGTATTGCCCAATTAAATAGTAATTACCAGTAGTTTGTTTTCTTTGATAACACACAGTAATTTGGTCCATTGTCCAAAACGCTTCTTTCTTAGGAGGAAGGCACAGATTTTAGCATCCTTCACTAGGTCCATAGAGGCCTCCTCAGAAGGCCATTGATGTCTCATTTTTTTCCCCTTCCCATCCTCCTCCTCTTCATCATATGATTCATAAGAGCTGCTCATGGCATCCGAGTCATAATCTTTAAAAGGAAGTATAAAAGCACTCGGTTAAAAATGTCACAAATGAAGCATAACTTTGAACTGAATACACATCACTAAACGTGGGATGCATTCCCTACAACACTTGTCCTTGTTTGTAAGCCCTGGGAAAATATGCAGGGTGGTACAGAGTATGTTACCTATAAAGTTGGGTTTTAACCTTGGCAAATGGCCATATAAAATGGCATATTACTGACGTCATTTTTTTGTAAAATGGCTAAGCTTCTGAAAGGAATAACTGAACAATCACAGTATTTTCTATTTTTAGTAATATTTTTACTAATAAAGGCAAACCAAAGACAGAATACCATTTCAGTTACTAACATCAACACACTGAGTTTAAGTACAATATAATATGATACAAAAATTAAAATTACATCATAATGAGACATAAGTATAGCACCATAATTGTATCCCTGGAATTTTAATTAGACAAATTACTTTAGGATAAATACTTAGCAATTAGATGGTGTTTATGGTCTCTGAAGTATTTGAAATGCTCTCTCTTTCATTTATTGCAGATGTTCTAAAGAGGAAGAAATTTTAAATTTGCCCCACTCCTTATTTCCTTAAAGTACTTAGATTCTTGATGACAATGCAGGCACAAAAATACCTTTCAGTCTTAAGGCTGGGGTAGGTAGATAGCAAAGCACAGCGTGTAACAGATCTTAAGCACAGACAGCAAGAGAATTTCACATATGGCTATTGTAATCATCTGAAATTAAACAGCAGTGATACAATTAACACTAAAGCAGCATTACTGAACTACTACCTACTAATATAAATGCTGAAAGCATTCTGGAAAAGTATCTCCATGTTCTTTAGTCCCAGGCAGACGTTTCACTTAAGACATGATCAGCTAGTTAATCACATTGTAAGAAGTAACCCAGCCACACATTAATGCAATAAATGGCATAATGAAACAAGGAATAAGTTAGGGATCAACAACTTTTGGGGGCAGAGTGCAAAAATACCTACAACCTCGATTTGTAAGACGTTGGTTGTGCCAGTGGCGGACAGTGAGGAAACCATGGGGGGCCTGATCCTTCTTGTGGCAGCGCAGCCCCAGCCCTTTCCCCAAGGCATGAGTGCCACGCAAAATGCCTTCACGTGCCATGCTCTGGCTTGCGTGCCAGGGGTTGCCTACCCCTGGAAGAAGCAATAAAATTACCGTATTTATTCAAATACAAGACGAGGTCTCTGTCCCTTACAATTGGCATAGGGAAAGAAGCCCCTCATCTTATAATGGACAGGGACAAATTCAAGGCAAGCCTCTAAGAATTAGATTGTATACCTGGAAAATTAGAACTAATTTACAAATTTTCTATATATAGTATCTAATTATTGGGGAACCACCTTATAGTCCGGGTCATCTGTTCATGTAAATATGGTACTAAACCAGATGTGTGTGTAGCAACTGTGTGGCTGGTCTCAATCATGCCTTAAATTGAACATGTGGCCAGGCATCAGCTGATCAGCACTCCAAGCCTCAGAAACGCATGGGAGTTCTTGACCCCCATATTTTTCTGAAGCTCAGAGCACCTATCAGCTGACTGCTGCTCCCAGCCTTGGGGGAGCACTGGAGTGGAGGACTGCAAAGGCTGGGAGTGGCTGCTAATTGGGCTCCCAGCTTCAGGGGTGCATCAATCAAGGGCTTTGTTGCATCCCCGAAGCTGGGTGCAAAAGTAAGCTGATGGATGATGGCAGCACAGGAGTGTGCTGGAGTCCTTCAAGGCACTATGGGAACCAGCCATAAAGTTAGCCTCTACCCACATGCCAGGAAGAACCAGGACTGCACCAGATGACTAGCGGTGTCAGCCTTGGGAGCAGAGCGGAGCTGCAGCAAAATTTGGGGTGGCTACAGTGTTGCTGATGCCTGCTCCGAGCTCCACCCCTGCTAAGAAGAGCCCTTTGCAGTGCCAGCTTGAGCCTGCAGCTGCAGCCTGCCCCCCCTCCACACAGATCCGGGAGCACACGCCCCACCCCCATGCCCTCCTGGGGTGCAAACAATGGTGGGAGCCACCCCCTCCCATGAGCCATGGCTTTGTCACATGTGCCCCCCGCCCCAGCTGGGCAGTGCCTGCCTCCACCCCCTCCCTCAATCACCATGGGCACATCCCTTCCCTCCCCACTCCCCTTCCAACTTACCAGCTGCAGGCAGCTCTCCAAGCTGCCAGCTCTGCTCCTTGCTGCCTGCGTGCTGCACTGTGGCTGCCTGCAGCACGGGCATTTATCAGTCAAATTATTGGCCCCATCAGGCTGATATCTGATACAGTTAACTTTCTTTATATTGATACCGATCCGATATTGGACTAATGTATTGGTGCAGCTCTAATATTAATGTGTGTGTAATATATGTAATAACTTTGTGGCATGTTCCTTTTATTGCACCATTAATTGCCCTCATGTGCGTCCAGCTTATGACTTAACACGCAATTACCTTGTTAATCACATCTTAGGTGTGCCACCTCCCCAGGGCTTTATACTGTAGTCAGATGCTTAGGGTACTAGCTAGGGATATGCAAGAATGATTTAGAATGAAAAACTGCTTTGAATCAGCCAGAGCAGGGATTTCAACTTGAGAGTACAGCAATCCAGACTGGTACCTGAAATGCCTAGGTGGATAAATGGATACCTACACATGCTTCAGCAATCTATTTCAGGATCAAAAACACATATTTTGACACATTTTACTCAATAAAGATTTTTTTTAAATGTGTATTTTTCCTTTCACCACCAAATACAAATACTGAAATATTGAATGCTGCCATGGAACAGACTTATTGTCCCCAGTGGAGTAGTATGGCTTATAGATAGCTTAATGCAGAACATATAGCTAAAATCTGCAACATTCCAAAGAAAAAAAATACAATGTGATTTTGCATTAAAATATTGTGTTGCTATTATTGTGTGTATATGTGTATTGTTGTGTTAAAAAATCCCAGAAAATGGAAATCAAGGTATAGGCAGGAAAGCTAAAGGTTCTCTGTTACTTAACTTAAAGTGATAGAATGGGAAGTAGTTTTATACAAAACCGTGCATACTCGCTCATGCTCATTTAAAACAATATGAAAGATCTGCCAGGTTTTCTCCTATTTCTCCATCCCTCTTAATTTCCTCCCCCAGGATCAAGATTAAATAGCCTAAACAAAAATAGATTTTTGCACGGGTTATCTGGTAAATTCCATGAAAGTTTACAGTACCAAATCAGGAAATACTTAGGAGTTCATTGAGTAAACTACTAATATATACTTACCTGTTTGGGAGAAAAAGTTAAGGTAAATGAAATGTGAGAATGTAGATTCAGTAGTTAAATTTACATCTTGAAGATGTTTCTGTGAGGAACATGTTTTACAGAGGCATAACCTAAGGGGTGAGCTGCTAGAATCCCATTTCATTCCCACAATACTTTAGGTGGCCATAAATGGCCTCCCTTCCATTCTTTCAAATTAACAGAGATCTTGTGGAGTTAGGACACAGTGGGTTTATCTACACATTCAAATAAGCGAGACTAAATTTACTGTGCATTAAGCAATTTTTGGCAGCTGTCTACATGTGCAGGGACTTAGGACTAAAGTCAGTGCACTTGGCGCTGAAGTTAGCTGCAAGTCCCTTCAGCCATGCCATGTGCCCCTGTGGCCACCAGGGGGAGTTCCATCCTAGGCCACATCGCTGCCAGCACTTGGCAGCCATGTTGAAGCCAGAGCCAGCTGCCAGTACTTGACAGCCATCATGGAAGCTCTGATCTCTAGCCAGCCCCTTTTCTGACAAGGAGCCACATGCCTAGCACAGGGGCAGAATGGGCCAGCTCCCTCCCTGCCCACCCTGCCTCCCAGCACCAGGGCTGCCTCTGCCAGTGGTGCCCAGCACTGTTCCAGCCCAACCTCTGTTAGTGATGACCAGCACCCTGCATTGCTACTGGCCACAGGGCTGCCTCTTCTGGCCCCAGCAGCACCCCACCCAGACCCCAGGACAGCTGCACATGTGTCAATGGGGGCCCTACCTGATCCCCTCCACCTGCACTTCCCCACTCAAGCCCACCTGCCTTGCTGTGCACACACCCTCTACCCACCTGCAGCACCACTCTCAGGACACACACAAGGGTGAAACAAAAAAAACTTTAATGCCCTCACAATCCTCACCTGCACCCCTCCCCCCTCAACAAACAGTGCCCCTCCACCACACTCCCCACCCACCAACAATAAAAAACCCATTTACAAAAGGCAAGTGATATATATAAGACAAACTATATACATATTAAAAATTATTTATAATATTTTGGCTGTTCCAGCTCAGAGTGGGGAGCTGGAGGGGGGGAGGGGGCCAGGCCAGGGGGGATGGCAGCTCTAGGACCTCCTCTTTGGGCCAGGGAGGAGCCTGCTGCAGGGTGGCAGGTGGGATCTAGGGGCCCTGTGGGGCCATGGATGGGGGCCGGAGAGCAGGGGACATGTACGCAGGTACCAGGGCCAGGATGGTCTCTATTGCTTGGCGGTTGGTGTCCCCCCCCACTACTGGAGCTGCTCCAGGTCCTCCATGCAGGCCCAGTGGTCCCACTGTGCCTGCTCCTGCGCCTCCACCCAGACAACATCCTCCAGCCACCAGGCCTGCTCCTGTACCTCCCACGTCTGCTCCTTCAGCCACCATGCCTGCTCTTGTCCCTCCGTCATCACCACCAGCCACTAGAACAGCAGGGTCCAGTTTCTGGTGTGCCACTGGCACAGCTGGCGCATCCAGACCGCTGTGCCAAGGGCGGGTTTCCCCGAGCTGCCAGTGGATGCAGCAGCCAGGGAGGAGGATGGGGTGGGGCACTGAAGGCCCAAGGTCCCCTCCTCTGGTAATGTGTCACTGGAGGTGTCAGGGCAGGGTAGGGGCTCTGCCAGGCCTCCCCTGCTTGTGGCACTCACTGGGGTGCAACCTGGCTTCTGGGGCACCAAAATGCGGGTCAGCTGGCACATAAAGGGCATGGCCTTTTGGGCACGAG